AAAATGTCCGAGAGAGGAGGATAGGTCGAAAGGAGGGAAATTCACGATGGGTTTCGCTTTTGCACCAGAGTCTGGTAGTCTTTAACCGTCGAGAGCTAAATATACATGTGTATACGTGGCCGAAGAGGAGACACGAAATGGCCCGGGAGGCTCGGTGTATCGCCACGCTGGAATCCCATACGGGGAGAATTGAAATTATTCCCCCGATTTTTGTCGTGTCGTTTACATTATTTTCGCCTTTGAATATTAATGGGCATATGCTCTCCGGCGTTATGGCACAAGAAGTAACAACGGCGTATAATACTCGACTCTTAACGTTATTCTATTGTTTGCAAATCAGCTCTATTGTTTTCTCATATACCTCTATACTCTCCCGGTTCCCTCTTTGCCCTCCCCCTATGCACTCCTCCTCCCTCCAACCTCTTCCCCTTCCCCTCTCTCTTACGCCCTGAGACGCTCTTCTTTTACCCTCTCCTCCTTCTCTCGCTCCATTCTCCGCTCTTTCTTTTCGTGCTCGATCTTCTTCTTCTTCTTCTTCTTCTACTTCTTCTTCTTCTTCTTCCTTCTTGTTCTTCTTCTTCTTCTTCTTTCTTCTTGTTCTTCTTCTTCTTTCTTCTCCTCTTCGTCGTCGTGTCATCCTTTCAGCCAATGTGCATACACACATACACATACATATACACACACGTATGCGCCTCTTCGCGGTATTTTCTATTTGTTTCTACGATCGCTGCTTCCTCTCTTCTTCTTCTTTCTTCCTTATATCGAGTTTCGCGCTCGGAACTACCTACCTACCTACGAGACTCTCTCTATGAAACGCGGTGCGGGGGCCTACTCTGCAATCGAAATCCTCTTTGTAGCGCACGTACTGACTTTCCAATGTGTGGAAAGGGGGCTGCTGGATTCTTTTTGCCTTTTCTTCTTTCCTCCCTTTTGTGGGAGTCGCACGCTTCTTCCGGGGGACCTCCCGTCCACGTATGTACGTACGTTAGACGTTATTATCGTCCCTTCTCTCTCTCTCTCTCTCTCTCTCTTTCTCTCTCCTCCTCTGAATATTCTTTTCAACGTGACGGCCATTAAAGGACAGGATGGGACGACCGACTCCGCTTTATGACACGGATTAGCGCGTCTCGAACGAGAAAAATTTCCATGCTGTCCATGATTCCGTGTACACAGTCCACAGTCAAATTCTGTCACGTTTGCCGGCCATATATTCCTCCTCTATCCATGAATCATCCAAGGATAAGGAGGCCGCTCCGTCGAATCTGCGAAACGTCTCGAGAAACTCTAATTAATCCTTATCCCCGTATTAATCCATATCGATTCTATTAAAACTTCTCGAACGATTTCTCGAAAGAAAAATGTTCGAATCGATTTCTATGAGTTCCTATATATTTTTCGAAAAAAAAAAAAAAAAATCCAAGAAAAGAAAATAATGTCAAGATTTCGCATACCGACGACTATGTAATCATAGGCAAGAAGAATTTTCGTCCCTCGTGGACGACGGGCGGATCGCCGATTTCCCGCGGAAATGGCCGCGAAACATTCTTTCCGCCGCATTGCCATGCGATCCGCAC